TTTTAAACTATGGGTTGTCTAACGAAGATAGAGCGAAAACAATATTAGCTTAATTCATTTGTAGAGGATATGCTGCTGTGGATAAAATGCTCCTCAGATCTTTAAATTGTAGGCTGAAATGAACGGTGTGATAATCAGACTAACGCTAAGTGACGTGACTTACAAGTTGAACCTGTAATGCATTGTGACTTACTTTGTTGCTGTTTTACTTTGCAATAAAGTAAAAGAATTTAAGAATTTCAACTTTAGTGCATTTTATTTATAGTGTATTTAACTACGCTTTCACTGCCTGGGCTATATAGCGTCAGGTTAGAGGATGACAGTGAGTGGTGAATTGGAGAGGATGTGGAAGGAAGCGGTCGTAGTGCTTTTTAGTATTTATTTTAAAAATTTCTGTGAGTTATGTATGAAGATCGTGAGGTACCAGAAACCCCCGGGTGCTTTGGCCAGACGTGCAGAATGCCTTTGTCATTGTAACGGGGGAAGTGAATTATTCAGTGTAACTTGGTCAGTATTTCGATAGCACCCATCGCGGCAAATCAAGTACAGCTGTATTTCAAATAAAAGTCGTAAAACTTAGATTTATGAGGTTCGTGTTTTATATAATAGAAGTTTTGTATGATGGACTTGTATTGACAACGCCGACAAGTTCGTTTTGAGCTTTGTGAAAAGTGAGAGTCGTGTTGGATCGATACCAACCGAACTTAAATTCTCTTCTCAACATTTAAAGATCCTCTTTGTCATAATAAAATAATATCCGTAGTGAATTTTGAATATTTAACTGGTAAGGGACTTGAATATGGATATTTACTTAAAAGCGACTGTCTTCTGAGATGATGGGCCGTGTAGTCTCGTAGAAGTTTACCGACGTTCAGAGGGGCTTGCTACCTGATATCTCGTCGGATTTTTGAATATTTTAACATTTGGTCTAGTAGTCAATAAAATTATATGTACAAATATTATTTTGTATTTTATTAATATTAATATATTTTGTGCTTGTTACCTAAGGATTCATATTTCATATTGCATTTGCGTAATAGTTATATTGTCTCAAGTATTAAAGTATAACTAACCACTGTTCTCTAGTTATTAACGTTGGTATAAGCGTTTAACCTTGTGAAGAGCACAAACGGTTGAAGAGGATATTTAAATTGATAGACCAGACGTACTTGTAACTTCATGGTCCCCATGTGCCCAAAACCCACGCCCTGAAGGCGCATAGACGGTGTAGAAGTAACGTTTAACCTCTGCACTAGATTAGGGATGGATAGCTAGCTTGCTTCCTTCCTTCCTTCCTTCCTTCACGATCCTACAGTTTTGACAATCACTGCGTACTGCATGCCAGAACAGGTGGCTGAAGTATTGATTCTATTTTTATTTTTGGTAAACGTTGTGTTTGATGAGTTGGAAGCCAGTTTAATAGATGGGGTTGTTATTTTCCTTATGAAAGTTATTCCATTGTCCCATATTCTGCGCTGGTATGTAAAATGGTGGACTCCGTTTAATATTCGATAATGTAATGTTTAGTGAAATTATGGATTTTGGATACATGTTTCCAGTTGTCTGTTTCTGATACATTTTTGATACCTCGCCTCATTTATGGCACAGACCGAAGTGTTTCGGAAGAATTCTTTAGCTGTTGGGAATTCCCATGAAGGTTATGGTATTTTCGGAATGTTGAACCACGGGATGCAGCTGTAACATTACGAGGGTTGAATCAATACAGGCTGCAGTGTCGTGAAGCTTGTAAGAACATTCTAGGCAACAGCGGATTATGAATATGACGCTCAGCATCATTGCAGTCAGTATCTTGCGTTCGGTGGTAATGTATTCTGGGAAAATAGGCCTACTTCTTAAATTTCCGAGCTCGGACTGATTGTGCCTAGTAAGGATTTGTTCTTTCAAATAAATGTAAGCCACAAAACCCCTTAAGAGAGTTACCATTGTAGTAACGGTTATAGCAACACACGCATCATAAATATTATTAGGAAAGGCTCGAAGTCATTAATAGCAAATAATCTTCAGACATCTGATACTTGCCTGTTACATATAAATGCATGTACATAGCAGTCCATAGATGAATGAACAGTCTTTTGTTTCAGTGCGTTTCCATTAAACAGCTTATACAAATGAAAATTAAGTAATGTGTCAAAAATTAATATCATTCCTTATGTTTGCTTGTTTAAAGAATGTAATATGATTTAATGTTCTGCAATCTCAAACGTGATTTTATGTCGAGGTTGTAATAACCTACGTAGTAGTAGTCCTCCCTTAACAGGATTACCATGGCAACGGTTGTATTATTATTCCATAAAGCCCTGAATCCCTTACGAGAAAATGATCACCATACCGTGGCAACGGTATTAACAACAAACACATTTATAAATATTATAGTATAGAGCCCAAAATCCATAAACAACAGCAAATAGTCTGTAACCAACACTGCTTATTATATAGGTCAGATGTATGCAACAATTATTAATAATGTCAGGCACGCAAGCTTCTAATTCTGTGCTCGTAGGCTTGTTGTATATCTTTACTTTAATGAGATATTGAGTTGAAACTGGAATATGAAAATATTGCTTATTCTGTGGAAAACACATGAAAGCAATCGGGCGGTCAGGAAATGTCCTGGATGTCAAATATTGAAATGCGCCAAGCAATTCAGTGCTGTACGTACAGCATATGTATATCTGTCACTGTCAGAATTGTACAAGTGGGCACATTAATCATTTCGCTTAAACTTTCGTCGATGATGATGAATTTCTCAGATAGTAGCTCCAGTCTTGTTTATTTTCCATCTGGTTTATTTGTTGGAGCATGACGTCAGTGCAGCTGATAGGTATGTCGGCCTTTGGCAATTAAACACACTACGTTACGTTGTTAAAATTGAAGTTATTAATATCCACAAAGTGACTTCAAACGGACGTTTTTCTTTCTTTATCATTCAAACCAGAATGAAAATTTGTATACATACAGAGTGAACTTTTCTGCAGGTGACATACTGCCCATACGTTATCTGAGTGCTGTTTCAACTGCAGTTGTTACAGCGTACAGGTGGGCAGTGCTGAGTAGGTAAAGATGTCCAGAGGCGATTGTGGCGTTTTTCAAAGTATTACCCGGTGTCCTACGTGAGCGATTAAATGCGAGCGGTGCGAGTTGCGTGGGTGAAGCGGAAATATCAAACTGACTGTTTGTATGGCGCTGTCCTAGTTACAGCGAATCAGTCAAGAGAGTAAAGCGGCCGGATTCCGAGATCAAATATTTTGATATTTCCGCGCAGGCCGCTGCGCTGGCCAGTAAGGCGCATGCGCAGAGAAGCTGTGACTGTGCAGTACAGGGAAGGTGCATGCGCAGAAAGACCGTGTGCTTCTATTGCAGTCTCTCACGTAGGACACAACAAGCGATTCCCTTATGTCATATGACACCCCATGCTGCTTATGCAG